AAATGGATCAGGTCTCTCTCCATAAGTGTTTGTGTGCAAAAAAATGTTCCTTATGTTACAGGCAGCATTAACATCTCGATTCCAATGTGTCAGACAGACTGATTTGCAGACTCTGACAGACCAGAATTTTTGATGCTTATCACCATCCTGCAGTGTCTAGAAAGCTCTCAGCGAAATTCTTTTATAGGGCCCCACATGATGTTGATGAGAATTTACCATCACCAAATGCAACAACTGTACTGTCACCATTGCTATTTGTTATTTTCTTGCACAGAATATCAAAGGCCTTCTGTTTATTAATAATAGATTTCCATTGCAACTGATGCCAGCAACGTTCACAATAAAAATCAAGAATTATATCAAGATAAAACAGAATGTAAGCAAAATATTGCCAATCTTTTCTAAATTGTTACAAAGTATGTTGCACTGATTTGATTGAGTTGTATCGTTAAAATAAATTTTTAAAAAATTTAATTTCTTCTAATGCCTTTACGATTATTATTACATAGGACAAATAAATACATTACAGAAAAGGTTTATAAAAAAATAATAATCAGTTATTTTAAATTTTTTGAAATATCTCTGATACATTTATTTTATTGTTTTTAGCTCCTTGAAAGTCCTGCATTTCATAGATTTGCTATTTATACACATAAAAGACTAACAAAAATAACAGAAGAAGGTATTTTAAATAATAATAAAAAGTAATATTTATATTTACATATAAATTTATTAAAAGGCTTGTTTTGTTTTGGATAACTAATAGCTATCCCATATATTGATAAGAGTACAAGAAGTAGCATATCATTTATTGAAAATTTCAAAGAAAATATAAAACGAGAGATTCAAAAAAGTCAATGGCCAAAAAAATAAAAATAAAAATATAACAAACATTATAAGCAATCAAAATGTGATAGTAGTAGTTCTATAATCGTGTTTTCAATCGAACTTCCATCACGCTGATGAACATTAACAACAGTTTGAGTGGCGCCAAAATAAAATGCATTGTATTATTTAAAGCTATTGTTTTGAATTATAAAATATTGGAAACGTCTTTTACTATTTGATAAAGATTGCTTGACCTGATTTGCATAATCAATAATTATTGACTCGACCAAAAAAGTCAGTATGTTCTATTAAGATTGCCATCATAATTTTTATTGATTCAAAGATGGCATGATGTAGTGCTTTATTTAAGTTGCTTTAATCTCAACATTTTAATTTAAATCGTTTTAGAAGTTGAAAATCCCAATTAAATTGTTGCTACGATGGTGAACATCATCTACCATGCCTTTTAAGTGATTTCTCAGAAATATCACATTCTGAAAGTTCACCAATGTAATTTGATTAATTTATTCATGACTTGTAGATAAAAATATCGCATAATATGGGAGCTTGAGATCGCTATATATTTTTTCATAAATGCCAATGTTATATATTTGTGATTCTCTACAAAACATGCGTGCATCATCTTGATGAAATTATCAAACTCTATTAATACCGGTAATTACTCCTGATGCTTCATTTCAAAATTTAAATACCTGGTGCAACCTGCAAGTAGTATTTTAAACATCAATCAAGTGACCAGGAAAATCCATAGGTATTAAAGATGCCATTTTACAATGCTATAAGTTCCTTTTAAACTCACTTTGGTGCATTTACAAAATAATTTGAATGGATTTTTTTAAATTAGGAAGCAGTATCTGTTGGTATGGAATCTGCTATAACACCAGAAGATGCAGTTATAACTGCTTATCGATGCCACGGTTATACCATGGTAAGAGGTGCAACACCTTATCAAATTCTTTCAGAGCTTGCAGGTAACTAACTAATATTATTATTGACTCAATATTAATTGTTCAATTGATTAATTATATTCGTTCTATGATTAGGCCGTAAAACTGGCATTTCAAAAGGAAAAGGTGGCTCTATGCATATGTTTGCAAAAAACTTTTATGGTGGTAATGGAATTGTTGGTGCACAGGTATTATTATGAAGCTACAATATTATTATTAAAATCATGATAGTAAAATATGTATGTATATATATACATATTTAAGAGAACATTATATATTTGCATGTGTATGAATTGTATGTTTTTTACGTTAGATACCTGTTGGTACAGGAATAGCATTTACACAAAAATATAACAATACAAATAATGCCACATTTATTTTATATGGAGATGGTGCAGCTAATCAAGGACAAGTTTTTGAATCTTACAATATGGCCAAATTATGGAATTTGCCAGCAATTTTTGTATGTGAAAATAATTTTTATGGAATGGGAACATCTATCGACAGAAGTTCTGCGAATACACGATTTTACACTCGTGGACAGTATATCCCTGGTCTTAAGGTTAGTATTATAGTGATAAAATTTATTTTAATTGTATTTGTTTACCTAAAATAATCTTGATTTCTTTTGATTAAAAAATAACGATTAGGTTAATGGTATGGATGTAATGGCAGTTAAAAATGCGTGTTCATGGGCTAAAGATTGGACTGTTTCTGGAAAAGGACCTTTAGTAATGGAGATGGTTACTTATCGTTATGGTGGTCATTCTATGTCAGACCCTGGTACAACTTATAGAACAAGAGAAGAAATTCAACATATGAGAAGTATAAATGATCCAATTACCAAACTAAAGCAACGCATAATAGACATAGGCCTTCTTACAGAAACAGAGCTTAAGGTGACAATAATGATTATAATATTTTAAAACCCTAAAGAAAAAAAATTTTTTTTAAATATTTTTTGCTGTTAAAATATTAGCAAGTTGAAAAGGAAGCACGTACAATTCTTGAAGATGCATCTAAAAAAGCTCAAAGTGAATAAATCAACACTGCTATAACGGATTCACGTGATCTTAAATAAATGCATTCTTACCAAATCTAAATTAATTAATTCGTGTTTCGCCAATTATAACTTCCTATTGCTGCGCCACATATTCAAATTTTAAAATCAAATACTGACCAAAATTATCAAATAAATAAAAAAATAAACAAAAAAAAAGTTTATAGAGCATGCATAGTTATGATGCTAGACAAAAATTGACAAAAATTAAAGTTTTATTTATTTATTTAACACGATATTATTATTAAAGTATACTTTTGTAATTAAAGCA